TACCTCCGATGATCTCAGTCCCCATGTGAATCGACGATGTCCAGGATTTGCTGGTTTTGAACCCCACCCTCGATACTCATATAGACTTGTAGATGTATAGACACATCTAGGAACCTTACGGAAGGATGACTCAAGAGGCACATTGCCACATGTAACAACCTGCAGAGTTTAAGGAGTATTGTGACATCAATAATATATTCCCTTTTACGAAGTACAACAAAATATCATAAAAATAAAACAAAAAATGATTAAATTTGGGAGTTTGGGTAGTATTTATAGTAGATTATTGCCCAAAATTCACATTTCAACAGGAAGTACGCCTACTCTATAGTTCACTAAAACCATATTTATTGATAGTTAAATTAATCAAAAGCCAGACAAATGGTTATGTGCATTTCATTTCATTCAATATCTTATAAAATATCCAACACCATCAAGAGTGGTAGTTAGGTATTGTCACCACAATCAAAGAGTAGTTTGTTAGGCAACATACCCCAGAAACTTTGACATATTGCCCATTTTTTGCGGTTCGGAGTTCAGCATCGGGATACTGAGAAATGAAACCGATAAGAGCTCTCTTTCCGAAACAGGTGTTCCAGGTAAATATTGCAGCAACTACTCCAAAGAGTAGAATTATAACAATGAGAAGAACAGGATTGTGGACTGCAGCAAGAATAAAACTACCAGCAATGAGCCCCATAACAAATATGAGAATCACAGACCAGAGTATTAATTTTGGGAAGCTCTTTCCAAAAGAATATTCATCATCTGGGCTAAGGGTAGTCACAGCCGGATTTTGTGCTATCAAAGAACCATTTATTTTCATCGAATTCATTGATTCCAAAGGACCAGACGTTTTTTTAGGTGCCCCAGATGAGTTTAACGGACCAGAAGAAATGGGGCCAGATGTGATGAGTCCAGTAGCAGGAAGAACTGGAGGAATAGGTCCAGAATTTTGGCGTGTCACTCCACCAGATTGAGGGCCAGATACTTTCTTTACAGGCTCTCCATGTTTATTAAGTGGCCCAGAAGTAGACTTCTTGAATGAGGTTGAGCTAGTCATCATGCCAGAAGAAATAGGACCAGAGGTGGTATAACCCGCCCGGGGGGCTGCATTTGGCATGATGGGTCCTGAATGAGTCCCAGCACCTCCAAAGGAACCAGTCCTTGTAGGAGCAACATTGAGGGGCCCAGACTTCCTAGATTTAGAGCCCTCCATAGGAATATCAAACATCTTTCCCAGTTCTCCCGACTTCTTAATATCGCCACCAGTGTAGGGCATTGCCACTGAACTCATTGTTGGAGCCTTTTCTTTGTGCTGCTCTGGCCTCCCCGAGACGAAGAGGCCATTGCTAAGTTGATGAGATGGGAATCTGGAACCCATCAAATCAGTTCAGAGAATCTCAAGTGGACCAAAGCAAGCTAAGAAGGCAACTATTAGAAGGCCAAATAGAAGTCCCGGTGTCCTACAAGAATAAAACAATAGCATAAGAAAGAGAGAGAAGGGCAGGAGAACAATTTCAATTTACACCCAATCACAGGGCCAGAAATGCAGTAAGCAGATGGAATTCCAGTATTTATAGGTAGAAAGTGTATTCAATCTTCATTTCACTAAGAAAAAATGAAACCTTACCAGAATATATTTGTACATCAAGAATTGGAGAAACAAGATAAAATAAATGCTTAAAACAAGACTAGACAGTTGGTGACTAAAAAAAGCAATAGAAAAGAGTGAATTGGTAGGAGATCCAGTTTCAACTTTGTTTGGACTGAGAATTTAAGTATTTGAAATGTCGGAGAACAAAAGAAAACTCAGCTTCAAATACATTGTCCTAGATCGAGATAGGCAAAATTTAATCCGCCACAAGGTTATCCACACTGAACGCAGACTTGTAAGACTACATCTTTTCCTTATCAAACATCTTCCATGATGACAAACCTCAAACGACTTCAAATCTAGGAGTGTAAGGAGATGATAGATCCATAGGTAAAAGAGAAAATTAGAAAAAATAATGAAATAAAGGTGGACCGACCACATTCTTCAAATTGATGAAGTCCAGAGTTGAAATCAAAGAAACAAAGTAAAACCATGGTATCCCTGTGTGCAGGAACGTGAAAAATGGTGGATTCCAGAGCGGAGGGCAATTAAAGAAGGAATCCAAAAGTAACCCATTTCTGATTAACCCCATCTACAGTCAAAACTCAACTGAAAATGATGAAATTCGAAATCTCAGATCACAGAATCATCAAGCAGTGGTAGGAAAGCGGGGAAAATGGGAAAGATCTAAAAAGAGAAGTAGAAATAGAAAGGCGGATAAGGGGTGGATGATTGATTAAGAGTAGAAAGTACCTGTAAGGCGAAGGAGAACGAGACAGAAAAGTCAGTGAGTGAATCAAACGTATCGATGGAAGTAATGGCGCTGGTAATTCAGATGGGAAGGCAAGACGACTGAGATCCCATTTCCATAGCAGAGGATGATCTCTCGCTCCCTCTCTCTCTCTGAGCGTGAGTTTGAGTTGTGAGTATGTATAAAAAGAATTTCTCTCTCTTCAAAGAGCCGCAACAACTGGTAGGTTGTCTGGCCCGGCAAAAACCACCAAACGGAGTATAAAGGTGAAGCAAAACAACAATCCTGGTTTAACTATTCAGCTCGGAGGACACATCCCACCTCTCGCTTTCTCTCTCTTTCTTCTCGATTCAGCATATTTTATTTGATTTTGTTGGTTTGGCACTGGTGTAATCTTTCATTATCCTTTTTTTTTTAAGAAAAAAAATCTTTTTTTCTTGGTGAAGAAGTTGAAAATTTACCAAACTCACACAAATCAAATAATTATGGCAACAATTTTAACCAAATTCATGGAATGGTATTTTGCACATATAAGAAAGTAGAATGACATAAATGAAATTGGATCTTGATTCTAAATTAAAGAGAGAGGAAGAAGGAGAATGGAGGGGCAAGGAGTGTACGTCATCATATGTAGACAAACAGTAATGACCTTTACACGGTATCTATATAGCTGTAAGGAATGGATGCGTATAATATATGTAACACCCAGGTAAGAATAAAACTTCAATTTATCATTTTCTAATATGAAACCCAAAGCTTCACCGTCTATGCTTGCTTCCTCTTCAGTCTTCACTCTCACTTTGGATATTATTTCTCAATCTTCCAACCCACTCATCCTAAACCAGATCCCACATTTCTCTCTAAAAGAAACAAAAACAAGAACAATGGCCTCCTTGTCCTGGGCTCGGTCCGTTCCAGTCGGCCGGCTCCCTGTTCTGGGACCGCCCCAGCAGATATCTCCACACGCCTTTGACGGTGGTGGCGGCAGGGATGGCCAAGTGGGGTTTTGATGGTTAGGGTTTTGCTTAGTTGGTTTCCCAGTCACCCACTCTCTGCAATTCGTGATCTCTGCGATCCATACTTGAACCTGTTCCGGAATATAATTCCTCCAATATTCGATACCCTGGATGTTACCCCGCTTTTGGCTTTTGCGGTTCTGGGCACCCTAGGGTCAATTCTGAACAATAGCAGGGGCGGCATGTATTGAAGGAGACTGACTACAAGTGGGTTTGTATGGTTGGTTGGTTAGTGGCGGAATTTAGGAAGAGTATGCTATAATAATTCATTTAATAGAAACTTGGATTTGAGTTTAGGTTTTTGGTACTTTATACTGTAATACCGTAATTTGGTTAATTTAATAGAAAAATGTTGATTGTTGGGATGCCAGAACAAGTCCTCCATCTTTCAACGCATCTGGCATTTGATTATTGTGTACAGGTGGATTCTGGGTGTATCCATACATATTCTGGTATGGAGAACCATTGAGATGAGTTTATCAATGCGAAGAAAGTATTTATGGTATGAATATTTATCATTTCACCTTCAAATGAAGTTGGCTTTGATAAACTATTATTACTATAAGAAATATGTTTACCTCCCAACAGGTGGAAGGTTCAAATAGATGATGGAGCATGAGATGAAAAAGGAGGAGAGTTGGGTTGGCTCCAAAGCCCAAAGCATGGACACGTGTAGGGAAATAGCAGATACACTGTCCACCTGGAAGTCCTTGGGGAACTTTCAACATATAATATAATATAATGTGTATATATATTAGTGTAGTGATAAGGCGTAAGGCGTAAGGGGTTTGGTGTATCAACTAAATTAGCAGTTCGTAGAGAGACTATTGAAGATGAAGAAGAAGGGTGGTTTTGTTTTGGTGTTAGTGTTATGGATGGTGGTGGTGGTTGGCGTTGGCAAGGCCGACGAGGAAGCACCAAACAATATCGAAGAAACAGTAGGTAGGGTAATATCGGCATCGGCAGCATCCTCTCCTCCGCCTCCCAACTCCTATTGGGAGGAGGTTCGAAAAGTGGTCAATAGAGCCGTCACCTGCCTCTTCCCCCCAAAAATAGAGTCAGTATATTCATATGCATATTTGGTTTCCTTTGCTTTACCTGCTTGTTTCTTACACATAATACGCGGCATGGTTGGGTCTCAGCTTCCGACCAGGAAAACCGGTGGAAGATGGACAAGTGAACGGGAATGTGAATATGAAGGAATCCATTACCAAGAGCTTCCACACAACCAAACAAATGGTGGAGGATTCTGCCAAGGCTGCCGCTCAAACGCTCCGACCACAAACAGATTCAGAACTCTAGAATCTTGGTAATTTCTTCTCTTTTTTTCTTTCTTCCTTTTTTGTGCTCAAGTTACTTTCTTTCCTTTTACTCCCAACTTAAGGATTCATTCATACTCCGTTAAACATATATTATGATACGTTGTTTGTTTCTTCTTCTTTGAAATTGAAGGATTAGCTTCTAATCTCCAATTCTTTCCCTTTTTCTCCGCAAAAGCCAAACCGACCTCTTTCCTTCCTTGTGAAACATCTTCATATACGAATGCTGAAAGACTAGAGCTTAGTAATACCTAGACTGCCTAAAAGAACCCAAGAGGTAAGGATCACACACATTATTAGGAGTATGGACGCATAGCTGTCTTAACCTTGAAGCATCTTGGATAACTCAATAGCTAACAGAGAAATTACAGTTTAATTTACTAATTTGAATCATTCACAAAGAAATACAAATCCAAAAGGATATGTGAAATGGCCTTCAGGGGTAAGGGGGAGCCTGGCGGGACGGGAAGCAATTTCCTCGTCATCACGTAGAATGCCCATTTACACCAGGAAGTCTGTGTGCCCAACCAAGAAGCGACTCCTTATTTGTTCAAACAGACCGCTATAGTAAATGAGGAGGGAACAGACTCTTCTTGCTAGGTATCTTGCGAAATTTTATAAACAATTTGCCTTGTTTGATCAACTCAAAGGTATACCCGCCAAATCAATCAAAACCTGTAAAGATTACGGGGTCAAAAAAATGTAAAACCTCCAGGATTCTTGCAGTATAATTGTAAATTGAATTCTGAAGTTACAAAACCAATATTATGGCCAGACAACATTACCCAAATGCTAATTCTCCAGTGAGATATAAAAAGATGAGGAATTTATACACTACAGAGTTCCTTACATCAAGTAGAGTTCACGAAGTTCCAGATTAATACAGGCCTAACATCCTTAGCTCCATAACATGTCTGGGGTCTAGTTCAGGAACACTTTTGTTATGTTCTCGATCTTCGACTATATACTCCTGAAATATATAAAGTTTTTCTTTTAGTACAAAGAATAGGAGATGGGACATTTGAACCATCAATCTCAGGTGGAATACATGCTAACCGCTGTAAGCTCAACTTTGACATAAAACTCTTAACGGGGGGAGGACAATTTTACAATATTCTGATCTTAAATCGTTACTGGACCTTTGTCAGTTCTTGCTTAGCAAGGACATGGTAGTGGCGTTCATTTATCCTCTGCCCGCATATAATCGCTATGAAGAATCCATAGAGTAATCCAACCAAGATGATAGCCAGGACTGTAGAAGGAAATTATAGAACGAAGCATTTAAAAGTCGGATAGTAGAGCAACTACGTTTTCTTAAGCCGGTGTGCTTGATTTCATTCAAGGATTCATCCAACAGCAAGTTCTAGGTTCTTCTTATCAAAAGAAACCAAAAAACTGTGGGAAAATACAATACATATATAAGAAAGACTTAAAAGTAAGGAGTTAGTCGGCAGCCTCAGTATACCAGCCATGGCGTAGAACCCATATGGGTGTTCTTCGTAACCAAACATTTCCCTTAGTTCCTCCCCGTAGAATTTGTACACCAACACCCCCAAGAATGCCACAATCTGTTTAAAGCATGGTGAAGATCTCTCTAGAAAAATCAATCATAACAATGAAATGGGTTTATATGATACTAATAAGGAAGAAAATTTAGCCAAAACTCAGAATCAAACTCCTCGACTTAAAAGTGAATGAACCCAGAATAGTTGAAAATATAATTACAAGAATCTACCAGCTGAACAATGATGAAAATGAACGCATGGTCTCTAGCAACGAGAAACTGAAACTTCAGTCTTAACCACCAGCGATCAGTAGGGACATTTGCACGTATCATGAACATAGCTCTGCACTCTGTACAATGAGCAAAAGCAAAGCCCTCCTGACAGAATTACTGAAATGGATTAGAAGCCAAAAACCTTGAAAACTTCATTATCGAACACCCACTTGTTTGGAACGTCTATGAAAGCAGATGCATTAGATTGGTAATGAAAGTCCTCCTGCTAGCAGATATTGTCTGCTTTGACATGTTACGTATTGCTATTCCAATGTTAGATCTCATAATCCACCATTCTTGGAGGCCCAGCGTCTTTGTTGGCACATCGTTTGAGCCATTTAAATACTATTTGTAACCGTCCAAGCCCACTATTAGTAGATATTGTTTGCTTCGGCCGGTTATGTATCGCTGTCAGCCTCACGATTTTAAAACGGAGATGTTTTCACACTCTTATAAGTAATGTTTCGTTTCTCTCTCCAACCGATGCAGACTCTAACCAACTATGAGATCTCACATTGGTTGAAGTGGGAAACGAAACATTCCTTATAAGGATGTGAAAACTTCTCCCTAGTAGGCGCATTTTAAAATCGCGGGGTTGACGACGATACGTAATGGGCCAAAACTGACAATATTTGATAGCAGTGGGCTTAAGTTGTTACAAATGGTATTAGGGCCAGTTACCAGGTAGTGTGCCATAAGGACGCTTGGTTCCTAAGGGGGTGGTGGATCGTGAGATCCCACATTGGTTGAAGAGGGAAACGAAGCATTCCTAATAAGAGAGTAGAACTTCCTAGTAGGTGCATTTTAAAATCGTGAGACTGACGATGATATATCACGGAGCATAATGGACAATATCTACTAGCGGTGAAGGGAATGACAATTAAGAATAGAGAGATTCGGGAAAACGGACCTTTGTGGACCTCCAATTATCAAGACATAATCTATGGACATACTTCTGAGTGCCTTTGCAGTGGCATGGCGCGATTAAATCTTCTCCTGAAAGAAAATTCAGGAGATCGAAGCTTCAGAAGAAAAGAAAACAAAATATGTAGTGACAATCTTAACTCACTGAAGAAAATATTTTTATTTGTTAAAAAAAATGTGACAAACACCGTCTTAACTGATGTTGATGAAAATTGCGTTGCATATTGAACAAAAAAAAAAAAAAAGAATGTTAAAAACCTCCGGTGTCAAGGCATATCCGACATTGCAGTAGGTCTGCGTTCACCAGGTGACAAGTTTCATCAACGTTAAGATTGTGTAAATCATCTTCCGTAACGGAGCTCTCTCTCCCTATGACAATAATCTCATTTGGGGATGACGATTCCACAGATTGTGGCTGAAAATCCAATTGACTTAAAATGTGTGCATTTTCATCATTATTTGGTGCCAGTTGCATTGTGTGGAGCCTACCTCTTGAATCAGACTTGTAAAGTCATCGCTTGAGCTACTGCTCAGGTTGATCATTTACATGAAAATTAACGAACCTGCATAATTGTGGAAATCAGAGTAATCAAGTTTGCACGAAATTATCCACATAGAAGATCAAAGATATACAGTTAACTGTAGGATAATATCATTGTCTTTCGTAACTGGCAATGACAATTTCTTTATATACCAAATCTAGGTGGAGGTTACCTTATATGTAACCTTAATTCTTTATTTTAGTAATAAGGAATGTACTTGGCCTCGGATAAAAGTTATCACTGCAAAACCTGTAGTGTGAATGTTGATACTTCATTATACTAGTGCTTGAGGTTGAGGTTACTTAGGGTGCCACAACCACAACTATTTATTGTAATTGGTTAGGGATAGAAGCAAGCTCCTGGCACCTAACCTACCCGTGAGAAATAGGTATAGCTTAGCTAGTACTTCCTAAGCACAAAGGTTGCTCTTAGTTGTAATTCCTGCTCCCTTATGTTGAAGCCTTGCCGGTTCATCAATTCTTCTGGCAGATAAGGGCGGGTGTAGAAATGCCTTGCCAGTGGCCACAACCTCTATATCTTCTTCATTAATGCAACTAAGAACTCATAGAATTTTCTGAATTCCAATGTAACTTATTCTTTTGGAGCTGATGTAACGAACTACCAAGCTTGCCAATTAGCCAATCTTATTCATCAATGCAGAAAGTACTCCAAATTTCTATCCTCAAATTAGGAACGGTTCATATATCCTCCATGGAGAACTAGACCAGAAGAGAAAAGGAAGGGGGCTCAAAGTAGACGCCTTCCAAGGATTTTTTAAGTGCCTTTATCCCCACTAAGCACCCACTCGAACAGATGAGGGGGTTTTAGGCTCAACCGGGAATCGTTAATGTGATGATCAGTGTATTTGAAATAAAGAAGAGGGAAAGTGACGACAGCTAGAAAATTAAAAAAAAATAATAATAATAAAGATAAGACGTTTTCAGCTGCCACCGCATACTATCACCATCGACAACACTGTCGGCGATAGAAGCGTGTTTGAAAGGAGAAAGAACTAAAGGGCTCCTCTAGACTTAGGATCCTAGGGCCCTTCCATGAGTCATAGTGACTCGAGGTGCAATTCGCGCAAGATTGACAAAGGAACCAGATATACGTTAAACATAGAACTAAGAGAGATAAAAAAACTCATCGGTTATGAACCCCAAAGGGGATTGGGTACTCCTTAAAGGAGGTATGCTGAGGGTTTATGCGGAGGGTTTAGTACATAGTTTTGTAGTTTGGATACCTTTAGGGACAATTACGAACACATAGCCTAAGCTTTCATGTATAGGAATGAGTCTAACAAGAGCTTACAAGTTGGTTGCCTAATGAGTATTTTATACTCATCTCATATTATTCTATATTTTTAGATGGAGCGTAAGCCACAGTCGATGGTGGGAGCATACGGAGTCGTGCGACTGCGGGAGGGGCCATAGATTGAGTCTCTTCCATCCATGTTACTTTTAATATTATTTTAATGTTATTCTCTTCAAAAACTTGTCAAATTTCCTTGACCCGAGTCCATGTGGTGATCCATGTGGAAAGTGGGTCGTTACAATTAAAGTCATTTAGCCCGCAAGACTTTGTTTGGGATTCTTAAATTCTCTTAACTTGAGTCCCTCAAGATACTCTGGCTTCCCCACCTAAGTCCCAATTTACCCAATTCACACTCCTACCCTCGTTGACCCCTTCCGATGGTAAATACCTTGTAAGCTTCTCTAAAGACTTAGAAACAGAATTGGGGGCTCTAAAAAGGGAAAAGAAGTAGACGGATAAAAACTAAATAGATAAAAGTAAATCTATACTCTTGTAAAAAAAAAAATCGGTTTATGGTCAATAGGGAAACCTAAATAAGACAAGGGGAAGTGCCAATCTCACAACCAAGTTGATGGGTCTAAAGTCCTTAACCTTGTTTGCCCTCACTTCTTCAAACAAAAGTCTGATTTAGAGAGTTATCCAAAATGCCTCATTCAAAGAACATCAGCACCCGCATCAAGTCCTCTTTTATGCCCACCCAATTGTCCTGAAAGAAGGCCGTGAGAACCCATTATCCTCCAAGGGCTCAATCTCATTCTCCTCCTTAACCAACATTCTCATCTCATCCTCCAAGGGGTCAATGAAATTCTTACTGCTTCTCCCGCTACCCACCCTATGGAAAAAGCATGGCTTTATGTTTCTAGCTTACAGTTTCCTTCTCTGCAACCTTAAGCATACACTGAGCTTCGAAATGGACGCTTAACTACATGAACATGTCCGAGAACAAAAGAAAACTTAAAAGAAAACTCAGCTTCAAATACATTCTCCTAGATCAAGATAGGCAGAATTTCATCTGTCACAAGGTTATCCACACTGAACGCAGACTTCTAGGACTACATCTTCTCCTTATCGAACATCCTCCATGATGACAACCCTCAAACGACTTCAAATCTAGGAGTGTAAGGAGATGATAGAATCATAGCTCAAAGAAAAAATTCAGAAAAAATAATGAAATAAAGGTCGACCACATTCTTCATACTGATGGAGTCCACAGTTGAAATCAAAGAAAAAAAAATGTAAAACCATGGTATCCCTCTGTAAAGGAGAGTTGGTGATCAATTCCAGAGCGGAGGGCAATTAAACAAAGAATCCAGAAGTAACCCATTTCTGATTAATCCCATCTACAGTCAAAAGTCATCTGAAAAGGATCAAATTGGAAAACCCAGATCATAAAATCATCACCCAGTGGTACGAAAACGGGGGAAAATGGAAAAGATCTAAAAAGACAATCAGAAATAGAAATGCGGATAAGGGGTGGATGATTGATTAAGAGTAGAAAGTACCTGTAAAGGGAAGGAGAGTGAGAGAAAAGTCAGTGACTGAATCAAAGGTATCGATGGAAGTAATGGCGCTAGTGATTCAGCTGGGAAGCCAAGACTGAGATCCCATTTCCATAGCAGAGGATGATCTCCCCCCCCCC